TTACATGTTTTCAATAAAAACCAAAAAAAAAAAAAAAAAAAAAAAAAAAACGGGTATTTAACGAGTACCCGGGTACTCAAAGTACGGCCCATTACCCGACCCGCAAAAATGGGAAAAATTTAAAAATTACCCGTTGGGTAGTTTTCGGGTCTTCGGGTTTTCGGGTCGGGTCAGACGGGTCGGTTTTTTTAACACCCGTATTGTTGACGCAATAAAAAAAGGTAAAAAATAGTTGATCATGTACTAGTTGTATAGAGGGTTAGATATGTAATTTTAATGAAAAAATTATTTGAAAATGCTATAAATGGATTTTGCCCCAATTATGCCATTTTGGTGGTTAGAAAAGCCCACTTTGTCTTCAACAGGTCTACTTAGTTGTTTACGCACATGCTTCTCTTCATTAACTTAAAGCCATTTTGGGCTGTTATGTGTCTGACTATTGGTCATACATAGTTGATCATATACTAGTTGTGTAGAGGGTTAGATCTGTAATTTTAATGAAAAAAGTATTTGAAAATGCTATAAATGGATTTTGCCCCAATTATGCCATTTTTGGTGGTTAGAAAAACCCACTTTGTATTCAACAGGTCTACTTAGTTGTTTATGCACATGCTTCCCTCCATTAATTTAAAGCCATTTTGGGCTGTTATGTGTCCGACTATTGGTCATATATGGTTTCAAAAAATATTATATGACCTCGGGTTGCATCTACTATCATCCTGATAATTATGAAGGCCAGATCTCGAAATCTCTAAAATTGGTCTGATGTGTGTATATGACCTTGGGCCTTCATTTTTTTTGACAATTTTTGACTCTTTTAGACCCAAAAATAAAAGAGGTCATAGTTCAATGAACCACACCACATGAGATGCTGCCCATATACCCATGACATCCCGGAATTTTAAAATTGATACTCCCTCCGTATTTTATTACTTGCTCCACTTTTTTTTTACGACAATATTTTATTACTTGCTTCATTTCCTTTTTTAGAAACTTTTAATAATATTTTACTATTTTCCTGCTCACTTAAGTTTTTTTCAGATTTTTTTTATTCTTCAACAACTCTACTTACATTATATTTTATTATTTTCTATTACTCTTTTTAAAACTCCGCAGATGGAAAAATGAAGCAGTAATAAAATACAAAAAAAAATTTAAATAAAAATATCGATATTGGAGATCAAGAAATACAAATTTAATGCCCAATTCTAGAATAGAGGTTTCCAAATTTTAGTGACTTTGTTTAATTGGATTGGGCTATGGGCTACAGAGAAACAATTATCTTCAAAAATTATGCTAGAGCTTTAAATCTTTAATACCACACATGGGGAACGCCATTTCAAAAAAGCTAGGTACCATAATGTTTAATAACATGAACTTAACCCATTGACCCAAAAAAAAAGTTACTTACATTTTTTTGCGGTGTGGGTGGTTGGCGGTTTTGTGGTGGGGTGGGTTAAACCGGTGGTTATGTGGCGGTGGGGTGGCAGTGAGTGTTAGTTTTGGTAAGTTATGGGAGGAGAGATAAAGGGTCAAGGAGGAGCACTTGAAGAATTTATTTTTTTTTAATTAAAGAAAGAAATAGAACCAATGAAACAATGCCACATGTTTTATTTAATCGGTTTAGCAGGTAGATCCAGGTCACGGACCGTTTAAAGAAGGTTAGCCCATAGTTTGGGACCTTTGTTGTTAATTTTTCCTAACAAAAAATCAAGAGATGATTTCTGTTGCATATCTTCTGCACTTGTTGCTGCTGCTGCTCCACCCAGTAACCCAAACCCAGTTAAATGCTTAGATAAATGCTCCTCCATGGCAGAACTCAAGCAACTTCACTCCCAAATCATCCGTCTTGGCCTTTCATCTGACAACGATGTAATGGGTAGAGCTATCAAAATTTGTGCTTTGTCGAAATCTGGTGATTTGGTATATGCCCACCAACTGTTCGATAAAATGCCTCAACCAGATGCTTTTATATACAACACCTTAATCAGGGGTTATTTGCAATGCTATTTGGCTAGGGAATGCTTGATTTTGTACTTGCGAATGTTGCAGGACTCTGTTTTGCCTAACAACTTTACATTCCCTTCTCTTGTTAGAGCTTGTTGCATTGATAATTGGGTTGTAGAAGGCAAGCAAATTCATGCCCATGTTGTCAAGTTTGGGTTTTTGAATGATGGGTTTTCACAGAACAATTTGCTTTACATGTATGTGAGTTTTGGGTTATTAGAGGAAGCTCGTCGGGTTTTTGATAAAATGCCACGAAGAGATGTTGTCTCATGGACTACCTTAATTAGTGGGTACTCACAATTGGGTCTTGTAAATGATGCATATGATGTGTTTAGGTCAATGCCTGATAGAAATTCAGCTACTTGGAATGCAATGATAGCTGCATATGTGCAGCATAATCGTTTCCACGAGGCGTTTGCTTTGTTCAATGAAATGAGGACCGAAAATGTAGAACTAGATAGGTATGTAATAGCTAGTATGTTGTCTGCTTGTACAAAGGTGGGAGCTCTGGAGCAAGGAGAGTGGATTCATGGATATATCAAGAAGAATGAAATAAAGATGGATACAAAACTTGCAACGACAATTATTGACATGTACTGCAAGTGTGGGTGCTTGGAAAAGGCTTTTGAAGTTTTCAATGAGCTGCCTTCAAAGGGGATTTCTACATGGAACTGTATGATTGGTGGTTTTGCAATGCATGGAAGAGGAGAAGTAGCTATAGAGCTTTTCAAGGCTATGGAGAGGGAAACAGCTGCTCCTGATAACATCACTTTCTTGAACGTTCTTAGTGCTTGTGCTCATTCGGGGTTGGTTGAAACAGGACGCCATTACTTCAAGCATATGACTGAAGTTCATGGACTCGAACCAAGAATGGAGCACTATGGTTGCATGGTTGATTTATTTGGTAGAGCAGGATTGTTGGAAGAGGCCAGAAAGCTTGTTGAAGAAGAGATGTCCATGGAAGCTGATGCTGGGGTGTTGGGTGCCCTTGTTGGAGCTTGTAAGATCCATGGAAACATCGAGCTAGGAGAGAAATTTGGGAAGAGATTAGTTGAACTAGATCCTGATAACAGTGGTCGATATGTTCTACTAGCCAACCTCTATGCAACTGCAGGCAAATGGGATGATGTCGCAAAGATCAGGAGGTTAATGAACGATAGGGGGGTGAAAAAGGCTCCAGGATTTTCGGTGATCGAAATGGAAGGCATGGTCAGTGAATTTATTGCAGGGGGAAGGGCTCACCCTGAAAGCAGGGAGATATATTCCAAACTTGATGAAGTGCTTGAGAGAATAAGAAGCCTAGGGTATGTGCCTGACACGGATGGGGTGTTGCAAGATATTGATGAGGAGGAAAAGGAGAACCCTTTGAATCATCATAGTGAAAAGCTTGCCATAGCATTTGGGCTACTGAAGACTAAATCAGGGCAAACCATTCGCATCACAAAGAACTTGAGAGTTTGTAGAGATTGTCACCAAGCAAGTAAACTCATTTCCAAGGCTTTTGATCGCGAAATTATTGTGAGGGATAGGAATCGTTTTCACCATTTCAAGAATGGTGAATGTTCTTGCAATGAATTCTGGTAAGATGTGGCTTTTATAGTCTTATTGATGCACATGGATTTTGCTTAGCTCAAGTATGTACATCTGTTGGTATGGTAAGACTTGCCTTGTCCCGTGAATCTCTAATGGTTCCCTCACTGCAAGTTCCATCACAGCTATTGGGTAGGCTAAGTACTTTGTATATGGAACGACTGTTCAGTGGGCAAGGAAAGCCTCAACTCACCAAAGAATCCTACTTCTTTTAGTCATGAAGGTGAACTACCTCGTCAGAAAAGGAAGTTCCGAAAAGGAAGTTCCCGCAGTAGCCTTTTTTTTTTCTTGAGTTTACCATCAGTATTAGGAGACTTGTGTAGAGGTTTATATGATTGATACTTCCGTAGATTGGAAAATTGGGAACAGAAGGTGGTCTTAAGAATTCATTGTGGACATCTAAAATATGTAGCAGTTGTGCCGTATTAATATTAAGATTCGGAACACAGAGCTTGAGGGCTAGCAGATTAAGCTTCAGATATGTGATAATGCTGGTCAAGAATGGCTCAGGAGTCAAGAACATCATAACAGATTAACAGGAGTAATTGTTCTTTATGCCTGTATTCACAACTGATTAGCATGATACTATTTTTTTTGGGATATCTATAGTTAGCATTTACGTACACTGCTCTAATGCTAATGTTTTACAGGTTCATGTAGAACATTAATGTATATACTTCTTTTAAATAATTTGTAATGTTGCTGTATAAGATCAAGTAAAACCGATAGGACATTGATCTATGCACTGGAATTTTCAGTACTCCGCAGTATGAGTGAACAATAATATTGTGAATACTACTAAGTAGGGGTGGGACTTTTCAAACCGAACCGTGAAACCGTCCGTTACCGAACCGAATCATCACGGACCGAACCGTTTATAACCCGCTAATTTTAAACCGAAAACCGAACTGAACCGTATAATGTCAAACCGAAACCGAACCGAACGAATTAATGTTAACCCGTTACGAACCGTAAACCAATAACAAACCAAACCGTTTATAAACCGAAACCGTTTGAACCGATTAATGTTAACCCGCTAACTGTTTAAACCGAACCGTTTATAAACCAAAACCGTTTAAACCGTAGGAAAAAAACCGTTTAAATCGAACCATTTACAACCCCGCTAACCGTTTAAACCGAACTGTTATAACCCATTAAACCGTTTAAACCGAACTATTTTCAAACCGCAACCCGTTTAAACCGATCCGATTACAAACTATTTAAACCGAACCGTTACAACCTGTTCCATTCAAATTGAATTATTTACAGCCTTTAACAATTTGTTAGAATTCCACGAAATATATTTGATGTTTAATGTAATTTAACAGTACAATTTTTTTTACATATAATTATTGATTTAAATTTGTAAATTTTTTTGCTATTATAAAATTAAAATTATATTCTTGTATAACTAAATTAGGAGTTATAAATTAAATAAAAAAAATGAAAAAAATTTGGCCACCCACCCAATCCAACCACCCTCCACCCACCCACCACCGTAACCCACCCTAACACCACCCCCGCCGTCACCCCAGACCCACCCTAAAACTATCCCCCACCCACCACCGTTACCGTAACCCACCCCCACCCCACCACCGTTATCGTAACCCACCCCCACCCCACCAACGTCAACCCAGACCCACCCTAACACCACCCCCGCACCCACCATAATTACCGTAACCCACCCCACCCCACCCCACCACCCACCGTAAATAAAAAAACCCAGACCCAAACCTTACCCCACCCCATCCACCACCGTCACCGTAAATAATAAAAACCCAGACCCATACCCCACCCCACCTACCACCATCACCGTAACGTACCCCACCCCACCCCCTTAACAAACCCCACCCCACCCCACCCACCACCGTCACTGTTAAAAAAAAAAAAAAAAAAAAAAAAAAAAAAAAAAAAAAAAAAACCAGACCCAACCCCAACCACACCCACCACCGTCACCGTAACACACCCCACCCCACCCCATACAAAAAAATCGAAAAAAAACCCAAACCCACCGTAACCCCACCCCACCCACCCCCACGAAACCCAACATCCTCGAAACCCCCCAACTCACTCTAATTGCTCACCCACCATAAAACTCCCTCCCTCCCTCGAAAAATCATCCCTCCCCACCCACCCGAACCCAGTCTAACCGCCGCCGCACCCACCCTAACTCGGCCCCCTCCGTTGCCCACAACTTGAAAAAAAATTAAAAAGAAAAACAGAAAATAAAAAAAGGAAGAACGAAAACACCTTATATATTAATCCTGAATTTGGCCTCGAATTTGGTTTTAAAAGGCCAAATTCGATCATGAAACAACTAGATCTAGAGTTTCGTGGTCGAATTTGACCATAAAAACCGTCGTGCGTGGTGCCGGTGGACGGAGACGGAGAAACGAGATGGAAGAAAGGAGAACATAGACGGAAGAAGGGAGAAGAAGGAAGAAGAAGAAAGGAAGAAGGAAGAGGAGATGAGAGAGAAAACGAGAGAGCAGTGAGCATATTAGCAGCCATGGCTTCAAAAAATTGATAATATTACAGAAGAGGATTAAGAAAACGAGAGAGAAATCAAAAAGAGTACTAAAGAGACGATGGTAAGAGTGATCTGATTGGTGGAAAAGAAAACACACGGATCGTGAATTGGAATGTGTGCGATGATAGGCTGTTAGATGACATGCAAATCAATGGCTGATATTTAATATAAGACGGTGACACGGATCATGGGATAATGGATTTGGATAGTATGTTTTTTTTATTCATAGCTACGTACTAATAAAAACACTACTGTACTCTTAACTTTATGTAACTTATAAATTGTAAGAAACACAAATGTTTGGAAATTGGAATTGATTCAATATGACATATTTAATGTATATTAGTTATATGTATATCAGTATATGTAATAAATAATAATGTATGGTACGATTGGTATCATACTATCATTGGTATGTATAGATAATCGATAAATGTATCTGATTATTAAAACTTAAAACAGTTGATGATCGATCTAATTGAATACTTCTACTTCCCCACCCGTTTTCTTTAACTTGCAAGTTGCAACATATATATGTTGCAGCCTTGTAGGCACGTAATCTTAAAAGGTGATTAGAGAGGGTAAGACAACAAAGTAATTCAGCAATATAACTTTAACACCAAAATTATGGAATAGTTACAAACAATTGTCAATTATTACTTTATTAGACTAATGGGAAATTGAATAATCGTGATTTTAATCAAACATCCAAATATAGTTCCGTAACATTAAATTATTAGTTTATTACAATATCAATTATCGATTTATCGTATTCAAAGTACCAATTCATCAAATCATGGTTATGACGCGATCTTTAAAACAATTAAAACAAGAAGCTGATAGCCTGATAATATTTGATAATGAAACAATAATACATTAATACCTTATGAATTTGTAATAGACTAATATTTAATAAACAACAACAAGACTATAACCAAATTTGAAACATAACACATTAACATGATATAGAATGAATGAGAATTTCTGTAATTCTATATAATCTGATATCTGAATCGATTTATCGTATTCAAAGTAGCAACTCATCAAAACATGGTCATGACACGATATCTAAAACAATCCAACAAGAAGCTGATAACCTAATAATATATATTTAATAATGAAACAATAATACATTAATACATTATAAATTTGTAATAGACTAATATGATAATATCGAATAAACAACAACAAGAGTATAACCAAACTTGAAACATAACATATTAACATGATATAGAATAATTGAATAAATGAAGATTTGTGTAATTGTATATAATCCGATGTCTGAAAATAAAGTGACGAAGTCCCAACTTTATATAAAACGAAAATAGCTAACCGGTCAAAAATCTCTTAAAACCCAATTTCTACTCGATCCATTATTTTTTTCACCAACCTATGCCGACCCGCTAATGAAATGGAAATACTAGTCCCAACTTGATATAAAACAAAACGCGCTAACTGGTCAAAACCACTTTTTAGAACTCGATTTCAACCCGATCCAATTTAACCGATTACCAAACTAACCCGAACGATTTTAGCACCAAACCGAGTATAAACCAAATCGATATGAATCGAACTAGCATTAACCTGGGTAAACCCGCCCCTGAACCGACCCATTTCAAAATAATCCGTTCATGACCCGAACCGATATGAACCCGGACCGACGTTGACCCGGTAAAACCACCCCTGAACCGATCCGTTTCAAACCGGTCAGATCATGACCCGAACCGTTTATAAACCGAACGGGCATTGACCCGGGTAAACCCGCCCCTGAAGCGACCTGTTTCAAACCGACCCGATTATTAACCGAACCGTTTAAAAACCGAACCGGCATTGACCCGAGTAAATCCGCCCCTGAAGCGACCCGTTTCTAACCCATCTGATTATGACCCGAACTGTTTATAAACCGAACCGTTTATGACCCGAACCGAATTTAAATCGTACAAAAATAAACCGAAACCGAACCGACCTGTGACTAATCAAAACCGAACTGAACCGACCCGCCGTCTAAATGAAACCGTTTTAACCCGAACCGTTTCAAACCGAAACCGTTTCAAACTGAGGTCAAACCGAACTGCCAGACCGAAGTCCCACCCCTACTACTAAGTCTACTATAGTTACTGATATAGAATCACATTGGAAAAAAATGTCAATCCTTAGACAGTAATTTAAGAAGCTTCCGTTGCCTTCTCTACAAACACCTTGATTCGAGCTTAAACTTGGTAGACCAGCCTATCCATTCTATTGTGGTCTCCATAACACCGTGTATGTTTGTTGCCCAATAGCTACAATAGTTATGTTTTAGTAATAGTACTACGCGCAGCCATCACTTTGCTTGAAATAAAGAGAGCAATCTTGCCATTTTTGCTTCTATGTTCAATTGTTCAGTACACAATCTTGCCAGTTTTACAAGCTTGTGTGCTTAAAGCTGTCAACCATCTCAGTGATGTTGCAGTGTGGTACTCCCAACTTGCCAAGGTAACAATACTATTACAATCTGCAAAATACCCAAGCAGTGGCCTACCCTATATGAATTCGAATTCACTTTAACCCGACTAAACCCACTTCCAGCCCAACTCATTTCTACCCAGCCCAATTACAACCCAGCCCATTCACAACTTGATGTCTTGATCCAATCATCAACCCGATTTGTTACCGAATCAGTGAATCGTCAATCCAATTTGACGTTGCAAGTAACTATAACTTGCTATGATTTATTGTAAAATATTAGTAAGTAATAAAAAGTAGTAGGAAATTTGTGAAATTAATTTATCCAAAAAAAAAAAAAAAATTTGAAGAATAATTGAACTCCATAGTTTATACTTTATACCATGGTAATGTACAAAATACTAACAATTGTTCACAATTCTCTCAACTTGCCTTATTTTTTTTACTTGTATTATTGTGTTGACTGACTTGTGACTTTGTGTGAGGTGTCAATTCAGTAGAATTTACCATGTTCGAGCCTTACCAATCACCATCACATGACAATGTGACCGGTAAGAAGTGTGGATTCAGTCGGAATGTAAATTGATTCTTCTTACCAAATTAAATATTATGGAGTATCTCCTTGCCTGATTTGGATTTAAGTAATATTTTGGTAAGCTCTAAGATTTGTATACTTATGAGATATGCATGAACTTTCTTAAAGTTAATCCAATTGATAATAATATGATGAAGATTGTTTCGGGGTTTTCTGTATCCTTCGGGAGAGTTACGTCACTAAGTCTGGT